AAATCATGAAAGAGGGCGTTATTCTTTTTGTTACATTGGAAAGCAGCGTGTTACCTTTCGGATAAAAGTGATTTTCTAAAAGGTATCGTGCACTTTAAATCTATATTTAACTGAAATGAGAATTTAAGAGGTGCACCTGCCTTGACAATTTGTATTTCGAAGATTYTTCGTTCTTGTCACATTGTGAAAAAAAACTGAATAAAATAATAGTCATCAAASCTTAATCAGAGATGTTGAGAATAGCTTTACTGGCTCCACAGTATATCTCCYGCTTGCCTTTTCGATACCCCGAAACCAGTCCGCGCGAACTCAGCTGTGGAACGTCCTTATGTCCACGTTACGGCGTGTCATCYAAAAATTGAGGGAAAAAAGTTTTTGTCGTCAAAATGCTCAGTGCTGTACCAGATAATTGACACCGGCGTTCCACTCCCTCCCAAAAGCTTCCTTTTAGAAAATTTGATATTCAAAATGGTGTCGGGTCGAATCAATCGGGTGGAGCCTCCGAGCGCCGGAGTAACGTYCCTCCCCTCCCAGGTTAAATTCATGCCCTAAAAGACAAAAAGACCTAAAGTGTATTTCAAGGGTTTACGAGAGTCATCAAGATTCACAGAATAAGTCAAGCTAAAAGTGCCTTTGTGGTTTTGGTAACTCAAAATGTCGACAAGGTTATTTTGGGCGAAATTCCAGCTATAAATAGAAACGAAATACTTGACGCCGGAAGATCCTAATGGTCATTAAGATTTTTTAAGGATTATATAGCTATTCCATAATAGTGCAGCGAGAAGGAAATGTTAGTATTTAGTATAGAGCRTGATCACAAAATCCGCGAATAGAAAACATAAATCTCGTGTTTTCATAATGGATGTTGGTCCGACGWCATGCAGGCAGAGTTTACACGTTTCCGGATATTAGCTATCAAAGTTTTCTAAACGCGTTTTCAAATATATACGGTTGAAAKAGRGTTTTCAAAAAATATCCTGAATGGCCGGGCTGTGCARAGTTCTTTTAGTCGGGGAGAGGGGTCTGATATTAGTTACGAAACAAAATTTATCAATAAAAAAACCCTGGGGGTATAGCTTTCCTCTCAAATAAGAACTACCGCTTTAAAGTTGGCGGGCTGAAGATCGTTCTTTAAATTTTGTCATATTCTAGCTTAGACAAAATAATAATCTCGTTTCCATTGAAAAGTGGAGGGTCTAAAGTCCAGCCATCCCATGGATTAACTGTTTGCGCTACATGCAGTGAACAGAGCAGACGTTTATCAAAACAAATCAAAAATGCGTAATGKTGATGGATTAGTAACTAAATTGCATGTTTGTCTCGAATTTCATTGTTTCATTTCCAKTGATTTTAATGGAGGTCGGAGTCTAAATGATCAAAGCACAGGTTTCCCGCGTTCAAATTTCGTCTTTTGATCAGCGGTTGTTACCAATCACTTCAGACTACATTCAAAATGGCGCACTTCACTTTGAATCACTATTTTCAACAGGTAAATTTCTAACTTTTCACTTGACGTCTGTAAAACGTGATTTATTATGGTTTAATTTAATGGTAAACAGGTCGATGAGGCTTTAAGTTCAAAAGATGGAGAAACTTCAGCGGTGAGTAACAATTTTACCCCAGAACTCGGTTTGTCTTCTTTTTCTCCKTTAGGGCATTTTCAACAACTTTTCTACGCTAAATTTCATACAAGTTATTTCACATTGGTTTGTAGGAACTATTGTCTTTCAAGCATCCACACATAGCAAGCCCAAAGTTACAGGTTAGYTGAATAACACAGGAACCCCAAATCTTGATGGGATATGTGTTATACTGTTAGAAGCCCATAAATTTCTATGACTTGATTGTTAGTTTTTAGGTCATTCATATCATTATACTTGTATTTAGATAGCAAATGCACAAGCACAAACAGAGAGATGGTTTGAGCAGCCTTATGATGAACTTATTGCATGCCATCTTAGGTAAAGCTACAATACCAGGACTTGCAATATTTAGATTCAGGGGTGATCATGGTTTACATATAAACTCATCATTTTCACCTAGTCTATTGCATCAAGTTAAAAGCTTGCCAACATAGATTGATTTCCAGCCAGGACCTGCAAAAACAGAGCCAATAAATGCACACCTTGACGTAGTTATATTCATTATAGAGAATTTTATCATATGACCTGTATTTCGACCCCATGCATGCTCTTAAAAAACCTTTGGGAAATGGTCACATGATGAGGGCCATACGCCTTTTCRCGACAGGGCCGTACAAACCCTTGTCTTCCCGGCTTGAAGTTCCATGYGCTTGGTTGGACCGTACAGGAAAATATTTGGCTCTCGGTCATTTGTACGGACGGACCTGGCTGCACTCGTTCTGTATGGCATAAGCTCAAGCCAAATATTTTCCCGTAAGGCCCTCCCCCTCAGTCAATAAGTACATAATACTGAAAAAATAAGCACTAAAACAAAGTGCACAGTATGTCATATGTCATTGAAAATGTTATTCATTCTCATAAAGATTTCTTGATTTATTCTAGAGCTGTGTGGTCAGTATCCAACAATGATTACGTAGAAGCCTATGCATCGCAAGCAGTTGTTGTTCAATATCCTTTAAACGCAATGATTATGAATTGTGGTAACTAAGGTAAAGTTTTTATCAGAAACATATGCACTAGCATGCAGCTGTAGAGTGCCCTTTTCCATTTGAGTACTATGCTAATTTGATGATTTCTTGTTGAAAACTATGTAGAAATGTCCTTGACCCTTTATTATAGCTTTTAACAGAGCTTTTCAAACTCAAAAAGATGAAAACTGGTAAGTTCAGCTAGATATAACTTTTGGCATGCATAAATTTGATAAACCATTTGTACTGTTTGTTACTTATTACCAAGTTTGTTATTTACCAGGTCCTTACCATTGATGAATGCTGTTGTTTTGGATCTCAGACAGTTTGCTTCCAAGGTATTTTCAGTGCTCCATTATAGACATATCAAAGCTTCCCTGTTTCCAGAGGCTTGCCTTTTTTTCTTTTTGTTACTATGTTATTGAGCCGCGAAAGGGGGTAGACATTCCTGTAATCAGTTTGTTTTTACACCAAACTGTTTAATGGAAATATCTCATGGCTTTGTGGCTTTTAATATAATATTCAAAAAATGGGGTGTATTTAATGATTTTTGTCCTCCAGGCTGATAAACAGCTAACTCAGAATGGACGAGGGAATCCAGGGGAGACTTTAGAAAAGGCTGCAGAAGCTATTATGGGATGTTTTAGGGTGTGTGCTAGTGACAGGTGAGAACCTTAGATTACTATAAAGGATCAGGTTTTGTTGTTTCATAATAATATCCTTTTATAATACAATAAATTGTACTTTACTATATTCCAGTCGTTCTTCCCTTGAAGTATCCAAGAAATGGGGCATGCTTGCCTTAGCTATACAGTTATTCAAAATATATTTTAAGGTAATTGAAATAACATATAAGAATAAGTTCAAATATTTCCAAGAACTGTTGAAAGTTGAATTGAGGGAGGCATGATGGTGTGGTAGTTTACGAGGGAGGTGGCTTTATGTCCATAATAAGGTTTGATCGACTTGGAATGCACAGGAGTTTATAAATCATCAAAGTCTATGGGGACAGACTCGTACCCAGTCGCTTCTTCGAGCGACGCGCAATGCGAGCGAAAGATAAAGCGTAACAACTGGGTACGAGTCTGCTGTGGGGACATTATCTCCATAGTGCAGTATTATAGTTGTACCTATCTAGAGGTGACACATGTCAATCATACCAGTTATTGTGTGATAGATCAATAAACTTCATCTATGCAAGCCATTAATACGTGCCATAGAGAGTGCTCCTATTAAAGAACAGTTCAAAATTGGACATCTTGTTGCTTACAGGTATTTGAATATTTCTTTTTTCTATTTTTTCTAAACTTATCAAAGTCAGCTAGTATAGATGTGATCAATGTTCGAGTATTAAAAAAACATGAATATTTTAAGCAGTCCAAAAATTCAGACATTGTTACTTTTAAATCATAATGTTGTGTTGATTTATATGATTTAAACAAAGTGTATTGTGTACCTGAGCATATTTTTGTTTTTGTTTATGGAGTATTGTCTCTGTGTTTTGCTATTCAATACGAGTGACAGCAGATTTGTTTCCTTAGGTATTTTGTAGGCAGAAAGTTTATGTTTGATGGAGATTATAAATCAGGTACATGTAGCTATATAATTTCTTTCTTCATTGACTTAAAATTTTACTTGTAACTTACTACTTGTGCGTCTTTTGATTGAGGTTTCTTTTTGCAGCCAATGAATATTTGACTTTCGCTTTTGAACACTGTCATCATATGTCTCCTAAAAACAAAAGGTATTTTTATTTTATCAATCACTATTCCTAGAAAACGAAACTATCTTTGACATTCTTCTTTTTAGAGCTGTTTTGATTTATCTTATACCAGTCAAGATGCTTTTAGTAAGTACTGTAAAGTTGCTGTGTTTTATTGTTTATTGTTTATGGTTTTATTGTTAGTGATTCTTAGTCATGTTCTTGTGATTTGTCTTGTCATTTCTAGCTTAAAATGGCACACTCACAGGTTGACAGGAAATGTCCTGCAATGTTTATCCTTGTAATATTTGCAGGGTTTGATGCCATCATTAGAAGTTTTGCAAAAATACAAACTGATGCAGTTCATTGATATTGTCACGTCAGTAAGGTAAAAAATAACAGATTGTACTTCATTTTCTTGGACATACTAAAACTAATCCTATTAGGCTCAATATTGAAAAACATTTGATATTGCTTTTAATGTTATCTTGTACTATTCTTGTTGTTATTCATTTGTACATGTATTCTCATATAATTTTAGTGGGGTAATTAGTGAAATTTTGACTTCTTTGTTGTTACTTGTTCTTAGAACTGGAAATCTACTTCTATTCAATCAAACTTTAGAAAAACAGCAGGTAAACAAGAATGAAAATTGCAAATCCTTTCTTATTTTTGTTTCTCATTAAAAGACTTATTATCAACTACAAAGTAGACATTTTACTTGGGACACTGCAACATATAAGCCACTCATTTTTAGAAACACAATGCAATCCCCCCTCACTTTCCCTGACCCTACTTGTAATGTTGCTTCCATTTTCATCTTATTATTATTGCTAAGTATGATAACATCACACAYAACAACATTGTAGGTGGGGGGAGGGGAGGGGAGATGAGAGAGGGAGGGTAAGTCAGGCGTCAATATTGACTGGTAAAGCATCAAAACCTTGATGTTGTGCTATGTCAATGATTGTAGATATAATCTATACATTGTTGAATATTATTTTTTTTCACAGGCCTTCTTTATTGAGTGTGGGATATATTTAATATTAGAAAAACTCAAGATCTTAACATACAGGAATTTATTTAAAAAAGTGTAAGTAATAGTCAGTACAACAGGGAATAAACATTATATTAGTAATAAAGGTATTTGCAATTCTTTTTTCCCAGGTCCATTTTGTTGAAGACTCATCAACTACCATTGGATGCATATGTAACTGCTTTGAAATGCATGCAGGTATTGTTGTTGTGAWACTTTGTGATACTTTGTTGATTAATTATTTTCATTTGCTTGTTTAAATTTTTACAGCAATTTATTCTCTTCCTGTATAAGTACTTTTGATTGACACTGACATTCATTGTTATTATCCTAATGTTCAAACTGAAACAAGCACACAATTCTGATTTCTGTTGTGCAATATCATAAGAATTGGATTATTAATGAGTTATTATWATTGTGTAGGTGGAGGATATTGATATCATTGAGATTCAGTGTATTGTAGCTAACTTGATTTACATGGTAAGTACAATATGTCAATCTAAATTCAATATTTCACATCACCAAATGTAAAAACTACAGCACCAGAATATTAAATGAAAGCAAGTTAGTTCTAAAATAAGATAATTTGGAATTTTCACCCTGGCTAAAGAATTCACAGAAAATGCTGATTTCCATAAAATGCACATTTGACACCATAAAAGATTGCAAATCATGATTTTTTTATCCCTAGGGTTCTTCAGGGGTGTGTTAAGGGGTTTCATGAGGGAAGTTCAATTGTTTTATTGTTGTTTCAAGACTGTTAAGAAGCCGAYTGACTGCAAAATTGCATGGCGATTGTTTTGGTTTCACACTGGACAAACTGTTGGACTATCCAAAATGTGTGAATGTTTTAATTTAAAGTCTTATATTTCAAGGAAGTGGTGTTCCAGTAGATTTGTGCTTTTGTTTCTTTTTATTCTGTGGTATTTATTTTGCATGTAAATAGAAATGTCTAGCTCTATTTTAATGTTTTGTCATTGTTTCAATAATCCATTTCTGTACATACTAGTTTAAGAATGTGAAAGTTCTATGAATTATTGTCCTGAAATCAAACTACCGTCCAAGCAAACAAACCTTCATTATATGTATGTATTTCAGGGTTACATCAAAGGTTACATATCACATCAGCATCAAAAGTTGGTTGTCAGTAAACAAAATGCCTTTCCAGCCTTGTCAACATTCTTATGAATAAAGCCCTGCCCAAACAGCTGATATGATAACAAATGATATCAAACAACCTGTCAACGTGTCATCCGCGAGAGCTATTGTACACTGGGTAATTTATTGGTCAAAGATATAATGTAAGGATCAGATTTTATGACTGACAAACTCATCAATATCTCAGCAGTCATGAACCTGTCAGAGTCACAAGTATCAGTTGGAATTATTGTATAAAGTTTATTTCCATAAAAATAAATCTGATTGTTKTGTCTTTTGTCTTTGTTTTTCAATTCCCTTCGGTTTTCATATTGCAATATTTATGACATTATGATTTGATATCTGGCAATTATTCTCTTGTTTCAGTGCAACTACTGTGGTTCTTAATGAGTCCTTGCGTCATGTCGTAATATTTCATGTCAGTATTGATGTCTGTAGAGATTGTGGTGGTGCTGAAACTTGTTGCTAGTTATCTTCCGATGTTTATCAGATTCACAGCGGTGAATTTGGACGTGTTTTTAAAATTTGATTTTCGTTAATTGTTTTTTCATTAAGGATTAAAACTTCGAGTTTGTGCAGCCAAGTGGAATTAAACATAAAACCAAGGATTAAATTCTCACCATTGTTTCAATAATAAAAAATAATCGATGCGTCACCAGTGAGTATAATGACARGACCGGAAATGAACTTGCAGTAAGTTGGCATTGTTTTTACGTAAGAGCACTGTTGTTAACCAAGCCCTATTGTATAAAGGAATCAAGSATTTGCTTACCAACGCAGGCTTTTATCATGAATCATCCATGTATGTTTGTTTATGTTTTGGATACGATGTCTTGTCTTTTTTAKATAAATTACCATAAAAAAGAAATGGACAAACATACGCAACGCAACTCGACAGAACCTTTTTAAAATATCTTGAACGAATATCAAGCATTATCACGATAATATGAAATTTCCTGAAATCTTTGCACATATTTAAATCAAATAAAATTAAGTGCTTTGAATTATTTAATTTATGTATATTGCATATAGCGTTGCTTCTCTATTACGAAACCACAATTCGTCTGTGAAAACATGATTCGAAAAGCAAGTTGTCAAGTCAGAACGTGGAACTATCGCACATGCATGTATACAAGGCGCAGATTCTTATCGTTAGGCGCAAAATTCGTCTTTCTGGCGTCTTGGGTTTTTTTGCGGTATTGTACATTTTCCATAACAAGGTCATTTGCAACTCCATAAAAATACTATGCAAAAAAATGCACGAGTGCATAAGTATCTCTTACGAAATTCCACGCAAGACTATTTCGATTTTACATTTTTATACAGTGTTATTTACTACGCACAGAGCTGTCAAACACGTACACAAATCGGTTGCCAGGGAGACGCATGGAAAAAAAATTATTTTGGCTCTCGTGATTAAAATTTCCAATTTTCCTGCATTTATCCTCTTGTAAATTCTCCAATATATAAATGAAGGTTTCTTGCCTTCTCGAATGTCGGTTATGATTCGTATTCTCCAATCTCAGCAACCTGGCTACGGGTCTATTGAAAATTCTTTCATAATATTGACTCAAAACAATAGATTATAAGGAATTYTMGCGGGRTYCCAAAGGCCTTCATTCAAATCCCAATAGGGCAAACCCCCAATCGTCAAACAAAGGAAAGGCGTGTCATTGATGGTAAGATCTTGATTGACATCGGCTAAACCAATCAAAATRCARAATTYGAATTTGCACGTGCAAATTATGACGTTAGCAACCGGTCCGTTTATTACAACATTCGAGCGCCAAACTAATCAGTTTACTTTACAACGCAAGARRGRAAGRAGTTCGTCTGTCAAGAGAGTCAAATTTAAAGCTTAAAAATGAGAGAAATCGTACATCTTCAAGCCGGACAGTGTGGTAACCAAATCGGTGCCAAGGTAAGGTTTGATTCTATGACATTTTATCAAATTTTTKCGTTGCAAACTCCCTTCGAAGGTAGGGCGGGAAGTGCATTCAAGGCGTGTATCGTGTTCGAACGAAAAGTTGATTGAAACTAAGTGAAATAATGTGCTTTTCTCGGTAGTTCTGGGAAGTTATCTCCGATGAACATGGAATCGACCCCACTGGAACATACCACGGAGACTCAGATCTCCAGTTGGAGCGAATTAACGTCTACTACAACGAAGCAACCGGTAACAAGAGACTTTCGTGATCAGTCGAAACCAATATGTCGCAATATATGACTKTTTTCTCGATTCTTTTAGGCGGTAAATATGTCCCTAGAGCTGTGTTAGTAGATTTGGAGCCYGGTACTATGGATTCTGTTCGATCAGGTCCATTTGGACAAATATTTCGACCCGACAACTTTGTTTTCGGTAAGTAGCTTTGTACATGGCCGCTTTTATGCATAAATAATTAAGTGAGCTCGGATTTTACATTTGATTCACTGCTAGACTTTTCGCAAATGTTTAAACAAGTTTATTTCTTTAGGACAAAGTGGTGCTGGTAACAACTGGGCGAAAGGACATTACACAGAAGGTGCTGAGTTAGTCGATTCTGTTCTCGATGTTGTTCGAAAGGAGGCCGAGAGCTGCGACTGTCTTCAAGGATTTCAACTCACACACTCTCTTGGCGGAGGAACTGGCTCCGGCATGGGAACACTTCTCATCTCGAAAATCCGTGAAGAATATCCTGATCGTATCATGAACACATTCAGCGTTGTCCCTTCACCAAAAGTATCAGATACTGTCGTCGAACCTTACAACGCCACACTCTCAGTACATCAGCTTGTTGAAAACACCGACGAGACATATTGCATCGATAATGAAGCGTTGTACGATATTTGCTTCAGAACCCTGAAACTCACAACMCCWACATACGGCGACTTGAACCATCTTGTATCTGCAACCATGAGTGGTGTCACGACTTGTCTTMGATTCCCTGGTCAGGTATGTTGTAAAAMTCTATTTAGATCAAAGCGGTAGTTTGCCGGGCGCTGCCCAAAATGTGTTGGTTTTATAAGAGAAACAGGTGTCAGTCGCTAATTATTCACCATGGTATAACTAACCTCACATACCTTCATACAGGCTTTTATGCCTGATATAAAATCTGTCAAAATAGTTTCAAATAATTTGGAGTTAATCARACATTTTTCAAGTAGTGAGCAAACAAGAAATACCAGTATAGTTGTTCAGTATTTAAAACTACTATTTAGATTGGRTTCTTCTCTGTAAAATGACTAATAAACCATTATATTCTACAGCTTAATGCCGATCTCAGAAAACTYGCTGTCAACATGGTTCCCTTCCCACGTCTTCACTTCTTTATGCCTGGTTTTGCTCCTCTGACMAGCCGTGGCTCACAGCAATACCGTGCCCTTACTGTCCCTGAACTGACRCAACAAATGTTTGATGCCAAGAACATGATGGCTGCTTGTGATCCAAGRCATGGCCGTTACCTCACAGTCGCTGCTATGTTCCGTGGGCGTATGTCAATGAAAGAAGTTGATGAACAGATGCTTAATGTACAAAACAAGAACAGTTCTTACTTTGTTGAATGGATCCCAAACAATGTCAAGACAGCCGTCTGTGATATCCCACCCAGAGGACTCAAAATGGCTGCTACATTCATTGGTAACAGTACTGCAATCCAAGAGCTCTTCAAAAGAATCAGTGAACAGTTCACTGCTATGTTCAGGAGAAAGGCTTTCCTTCATTGGTATACTGGTGAGGGTATGGACGAGATGGAATTCACTGAGGTAAGTTGCTCCCTAAGCAAATAAGTTTTGGATTCCATTATCTAAAATATTGTATTGTTATRTTTTCAGGCTGAGTCCAACATGAATGACTTGGTGTCTGAATACCAGCAGTACCAGGAYGCCACTGCTGAAGAGGAGGGAGAGTTTGACGAGGAAGAAGAAGAGGAAGGCGAAGCTGCATAAATACTATAAAACTGGACTAAACTTGTAATTCTGTCTTCAAAACATGAAGGAAAAATAAATTAACTTTGACCTTATTTTGTGTTGTCTTATTCAAACCATATATAGTTGTTTTAAAGGTGAAGGGTAATTGATTGGATTTCATCTAGTGTGGGAAAATTGTCATCTTACAAGTGGTAAAATCAGTCATGTGAAAGCAGAGATAAAGATTTTGATTAGAGGTGATTTGTTATGCATCATTTGACCAGATACAAGATAAACATGGCTTTAAGACCCGTTTTTATCCTCTTACAGGTTGCCCATTATATGTGAAACTGGTTTAGCTACTTTGAAAGCAGCTTTTTTCACTTCCGGTCAACGTGGCAGGAATGATGTCTACAATGTTTTGGTGGGCTCCCTGTGGCTTTACACCACAGGGCGCCCAATGAAACAAAAGATAGTCATGTGGATCTAGTGAAAATKAACGGTTTTATTTCTTTAAGACATAAATAGGCTGACAACACGAAAGGAAATTTTTAAAAGTTGTCAAAAAAAAAATAATTGACATTCAACTGAATTTTGTTGTCAGTGAAACCTCGGCATCAAAAAGTGTTTTCTGGCCACACRTCCCATAGGTCCGTATTTCTAACAATTTACAGACATTTGCACACATTGTGAATCTTGTAGTTTAAAAATTTTTGGAGAATCTGTTGGAATGCTTCACCCTAGTCCTTCGCTCGGCCAATATGAAAGCGGACAGCAAAAAAATGTTTTTCTCAATATCCGACAATTGTCAGTGTAAAAAGAAGTACGTAGGATATACATGCAACATATATTATATGGAACTGACAAAAGATAGGCGATCTTTATCTGAAGCGATAATTAGCTCTAAAACCTCGTTTCTGCACTGTACCGTCCGAGCGAAATCTRATCCATATTTCTCCATTTTTAACACTAATAACTGGAGGYTTTTTCTCCCCACAGAACCGCCCAACAGGGCGAATTCGATCCGCTACACTAGTCTGAATGTCAACGAAGTCATATTTACAGTGTGTTTGATTTTCCAGGTCAAACACTTCAAATAAAACCACTGCTCCTCGTCCTCGCGGGCTTTTTATCTTCCATAAGCAGTTTGAACGGGCTGGGTAGAATGATGGATAGTCAGGAGACTGAACRATTCCTTCCTTACGATACAGATCACCTCCACACAATTGCTCTTTCTTTGGTCGCATATGGTATCTCAAYGAGAACCCATTTGTATATGGTGCCTAAAGTGAATCAAACATGGCGAAATTTAATTATCTCTTTAATAATGATGGAATGCTAGACGGTGAGACWGGTATAAGAAAACTCAGCTGTATATCACCAATTCATCCATCACATGTTATTTCTCCTAATTTCTCGATTCTAATTCATTTATCTTTTTTCGTAATGATTTAATATTTTTTCCAGCAACAAGTATCTAAARACCTACCTCAGTGTGATAAAAGACATGTAACTCGTGAGCTTTAAAGTGAAGAAGACCCTGAACGTCTTCATGGCCGCAAAGCTTCATGGTATGCATACCAGATCCTTCATTCAGTGAAATTTTTATGTAATTTTTGCACTTTTGATCACGTGACCACATTAATGTCAAGTACATGCCAATGGTATACCGCTGACGCACTCGTATCGTCCATTCACAATCGACATAGCCTCGATACCATGATGGTATTGGTGGTGATGTGAATTTTCCGACATTAGACGACAGCACCCCAGTACACATTGGAATTGCTATAATGAAATTGAGAAAATTTACTTTTTAATTATTTTACGACGCGAGAATGTGCTCGCAGAACATGAATAACTGAAAGGTTTTCTATTCGTTTAGATTGCTGTTTTTAGCGTGTGAGGTTTTCTGTATCTTACCAAGTTTGCAAGTTTTTTTGTCATTGTCTAGTGCGTAGCCATATTTACAAGAACACACAAAGCTGCCGGGAGTGTTAACACATTTCTGTGAACAAAGCGACAGCATGCACTCATCTGAATCTATAAACAAAAATGGATTCGATGTCAGAAGATGTATTTAAATGCATCCAAGAAGCATTGCGACCCTTTGATTTACTCTAAAATGGATCTGTATGTTGCCTCCTGATTGCCTTGAAAATCAAAGATGGCGCRGAGTTTTCGCATGCGAGAAATCGGGAAAATTCTCAATCACACACTTTTCTATTACCTTTGCAAGTCTTTTGGTCTTTGTCCAGGTAATACCCAGGTGGACACGTACAGAAATGACCACCTTGTGTGTTTGTACAGCCATGAGAGCACCCACCATTATTATTCTGGCATTCGTCGACATCTGCACACGATGATGATCATTAGAAACATTGAAAGATTTATCAAATGGTGCAAGTTTGACGTGAAAGAGACCGTTAGCAGTTTTAGTCAACAGTGGTACGCATGRTGACTGGAATTGTGTTCAGTGCAAGAATTGCGTGCAGAGCTCTAATCCAGTCGCTCAGGAAATATTTTGTCTTTTGTGTTWCAATTCTTGCAATTTGGTTAGCCGGTGCTAGTGTTGTAAGTGTCTTACCTAAACACCTTACTTTAGGTCCTTTTCCTACGAGTTTGTAAGCACTAAGACAKCCACACGTGTACCCTCCAGGGTAGTTAACACAACCTTGTTCACATAGGTCTTCACCACCTTCACATTCGTCAATATCTGTTAAAAAGAAAAGTYCAGTCTATTATACTATCTGCTTATGAATTATTATCTGTGATCTTGATGCACGAAGAACTTTATGCTGACCTTCCATTTTGTAATGAGCTTTAAATCCTTGACCTCGCCTACTCTTTCCGGATTTCGTCGTGTGCATGAATATTCTGAGGTTGTGGGAACTAGTAGMGAGGTCACGAGGGAAATCTCGTCCACAATGAAGACTTAGAAACTTTGACGTTATCTTTGTTCCTTCTCTCATTTCCAGATAATCAATACAGCCATTTTCCTTATCAATTCCTCGGAARTCAAAATCTTCAAAAGTGACATGAATTCGGAAACCTTTTGGTGCGGAGATYTGCCAAACRCAATCGATATTTTCTTGATAGAGTGAAGGATATCCAGGGCTTTCTATCGTGCCATTCTGTTTGGTTATAATGTACTTGCAGTCTAGATAGAAAAGTTACAGTAAGCAAAATTATAGAAGCTTAAACTGAATTGACATAATCTGATACTTACAARCCTGCCAATGCGATTACAACTATTGAATTATCGCGGATTTATTACACTACTTTATGACAATAGGCTTGCTTATATTCTATAATCCAATAAGCATATGATAATTGATGAAATAACCACTCTTATAAATATCAAAGAAATATCTATACTTCAGCTTTCTAACTTCTTCTTAGAGGACAGTGTGAGAGATGTTTTCGCTATACAATAAAATCCGTATCTTTGCATTCGCAAGCAATATCCTTTATTTATTAACTTTACCGCTTATTTTATACCGCAGAGAAAACCCAATTGACGGCTCGACTTCCTTTTTCAGTACCAYATTCCTAAGCCACCAATCCTGCAATGGCTGATGGGCCGCTAACGTCGGATTTGGTTTGATTTTTGTCTTYGAGGAATTTGAAGAATGCAATCGAATAAAYACACCATCAACGAAYACTGTTATAGCTACGGATCTTCTTATTCCACAAAACCTTGTTAAATATGGTGATTTAGGACCTTTGCCTTCACGAATCTCCAACCAATCATCGGGACATCCTCGGTCCGGGTCTTTAATACCAATGTTTAATTCATCAATTAAAAGAACCAGCATTTTACTTTTGTTGAAATCAGCGGCTATTACTGTCCAGGTTATGTCACTTGACTTGTTGTATGCCTTAGGGAAGTTTGGTGACGTGAAGTTACCTTTGTTGCCGATAAGGACTTCGCCGTTGTCTGAAAGGGAGAAATGACAGCGGAGATTGATCAAAAAAGAAAGAAAGAAAAAGTTTTATTTCATGTGTTGTTAATGCTCTGGTTATTTCTTGACAACGTTAATAAAGCTTTTTTACATGTTCTATAGAATGACTAGCATTTAAAGACATAGAGAGAATTTATAAATATTGCCCAAGGACACAAGTATTACGGTCAAGAATTCGAACCCAGGCGGTCTCAGCGCATTGTTCCTTAGCCACGTCCTTACCATATTTGTACGGACATTTAAAGAGTAGATTGGCTTGCAGGATATCTGAATGACTAAGTTTTGAAGTTCCAAAGAGTGTGTGTTGTCTGTAGTAGTATTCTCCTTGTTCTTTGATATTATATGATGTTAAAATGGGGACGATGGTTCGTCGGTTATTCTTGCTGAAAGTGTTTTTACCATACAACATGATGGATCTGTAGTCAAAAGGCTGATTCATCAAAAACAACAGCATAAGAAGTAGGTTCAAAAATGGACATTATATTTTATTCTCTCTGGCTCATGACAATAGAGCATACCGTCTCCTCTTCCTCTACTCTGCCGCGGAATAACCAAATCGTGACGATATGCTCTATTGGCAGATATGCGAAAATAAATCCATTTTCCATCAAACGGCGCGATTGCGGTTTATCATCATTGCACTCCACTTCATATGTAAGCTYACGTACCTGACCAAGCGACGTGACCAAGCTTGCATCTTTCTTTACAAATTGATGTATTTCTCCTGGACTGATATTATCATACAAAATTTTAACGTAATCATTTCTATCTGGTCGACCCTGTTCGTGCCAAAAACCAACCAAGTGACCAATTTCATGGAGAATTATACGATGTCCAAAGCAACCGTATCCAAGGATGACAGCCTGCCGTCCTCCTTGACGACCAACATTCGAACAACAACTGATAATAAATGAATGAAAGTGACTGATACATTTACAAACGGCAACGCCCTAGAGCGCGCAATTTAGMAATTTGGACTGAGCAAATAATTTGAACTGATATACAKRATCAAGTATACGTAGCCTCCTCCACGGGCTACTCCGACAAAAACCGCCTTTTGTGTTTTCCTGTGTTGAATAATCTTGACCGAGACTAATCTTGACGAATTAGGCGGTTTTTTCCCCTAGAAGATCGCGAAGTAGAGTTGCCCGTAAAGGAGTCTGAACAGGGCGTGGTTACCCGCGGCCGGTGGTGAAGATGGTGTAGTCTGTTTCGGTATCACGTGGCACAAAGCGAATGCATGTCTTGTTTTCCCAAACAGTCATTGCTTTCTTGACTTTGCGCTTTTGAGAATCTAAAAAAAATTGTGAAAATGTCTATGGTTTAAAGAATAAGTTATATTTAATGCTTGTTACCTGTAATCCTCCAATCAAGCACGCATGGTATTGTATTATTGACCGACAATGCTGTACGGTCAGAAATTGCAGCCCTTGGATATCTTACCTGTAATCCTCCAATCAAACACGTATGGTATTGTATTATTGACCCACAATGCTGTACGGTCAGAAATTGCAGCCCTTGGATATCGATGTCTTTCTGTCTTTTGGAAATGCCTCAGCAATATATCACCTTGGATTGACTCTGAAAATGAACCACAAATGTAAGTTTGACAACTATGGCCGGTTTCTTTCTTTGTAGTATATTCTTGGTTTGTTAATTTGTCTCTTAGTTAAGCTATTTCTGAGTATTTCTCATTATGTCTCAGTAGTAAATAAACCTATGTTTTAGTGATATCAAGTAGCAATCAGCAGGGGCATTCTTGTGGTTTGGCAAATAGACTAAAGATCGTCTAAAAATAAAAATTCAACTTCCCAGGAGAAATGGAAATTAATTTTGAATCTAGAAATCTTATCACTATTGGTTCCGTCARTCATTGATTTTCTCAGTCATCCATCCATCTTTTGTTCGTTAATTCATTTCCCTATAAAACGAATTAATTTGATTAATTACTAATCATGTTCATTGCAATTCACTGTGTGTTCATAGAGATTAGTGTAACCTCGTGAGTGCGCTCAGTCATCTCCAGGGATGCTACTGTCGTCCTATTGCCAGATGTTATGAAGACGTCAATCAGATCAATTTCAGCTCCATGTACTTATTGTTAATTAATTAATTGACCTTGTGTTCCGTAAGATTTGGCGTAGTGCCTGTATTCTAGCGCATACAAGCCAGGGTACTGATTTTATTCGCTTCAAATGCCTTTTCATGCATCCATAAAACTTTCTATTATTGATATGGCAATTCTAGTGTAACGTGTTGTATGTGGGCGTGAGAAAACTGMAACGCTAATTACTGCAAATTAGCAGCTGTAGAAACACGGGAGAGCTTAAAAAAACTTAGTATCAGTCTGAAGCGCGTTTAGTGACCTTCCTCGATATTAATCTAGTAGAGAGAGTAAAGACTACAAATTGGACAAGATATAAAGAGCATGAAAGACTTTCTGAGAGWGAAAAAGCAAGAATAACAAACACCATTGCGGTAATGGATTACCTGTGCATTCGAGTACAGAGYGTACATGAAAAGKACCACCAAAAAACACCAACATCAGAACCAAAACWACACTAGATGCCATTTCTCTGAGCAAACAAGTCAAGGTTGGACACAAGGAGGATTACTTAGGTATACTCATTCATTGATGGCTAGACCGACTGTCTTCGGGGATTTGGYTGTAAGTACCCCCTCCCGATTTAGCTCGAGTAACAACTGGCTACTTGCCCGTTGATTTGATAAACAACAAAATAACAATCAAAGGACACTTCCGGCATGTCACGACCTTATACAGACAATTCCTCTCAGRCTAAGACGCAAAATAGTCTCCACTATCCAACAAAAAATCCCGCATTGAAAACAAAGATAAATCTAATCTCAACATTAATGAAAAGAAAGACGTGAAATGTAGAAATACTGAAGTGATTATCAAGTAACTATGTTATTATGTTACTAAACTGCTTGACACGGGAGAAATTCATATTTATGCTCTGTCACACCTCTTACAGCCACACGACATCCGTTCGTGACTCTTGCCAAAACGYGGCTGACACACACGTGCTCACACTCGCACTCATTCCACGCTCGAGGCTTCCCTTCGAGCAAGAGAAAATGAGTATACATGAATTCTGCAGCAGTGCGTAATCARTGAACCTGAGGTTAATCATGACACGGAAAAGCAAGATGGTAGTGTTGAGAGAAAAACTGCGTCGGCATACAAAGACTACAAACAAAAGTGGTCCTCCTCAAGGTCTAATGTTAATGGCTWCTTTCCAAAAACCATGTAATAGTCTGAATACTATTGAATAAATTTCAAAACATCTCAAAATACACAAAGTAAAATTCTCCGACACACACACGGACAACCAAAATTATTTTTCCGATAATAGACTATATATCGTTTGTGATGTTATACCGCTGACAGGTAATATCATCGCGATCTTATAATCAAGGACTTTCTTGTGCATTACGGCCACAGGGGGCCCAGGCTCAACGGTTGTGTTGCTTTCACGGCGGTGTCAAAGTATTAATTRCGGGGTTCGCGGTTCGAGCCCTCATGAAGCCGTAAATTTTTTTTACCTCATTTCTTGAGACTTTTCAAGACTTTTTCTTTCTTTTCTTTTTTCTTTAATAAGTATAAACAGCTTTATGAATAAATTTATGAATAAAGATTGATTTTTAAAGCCAGAATAATATTTTTCCCCCCTCGTAAATAAAAATAGACAAGGGAGGTAAGTCAGCGATCGAAATTTGCCAACCGGCTCTAAACTACGGCCTCTAAGACACCTTTAACTTCATCCAATGGACATCAAACTCCGTACAGCTTTCGATCAATACCTATTCTCACTTGTCACCAATGTTCAGCCTCCAGTTAAAAATATTTTCCGAGATAATTTAGTCAGAAGATCAAAATACTCCAGCCTACCGATGSACGGTACTTTCAACTCGTGCACCAACGGAAATRCCTCGCTCTGGGGTGAGAGGACGTGATGTAATGTAGTTGTGGTTTTCATAAAAATCGCAATGTAATATTCAACGTTACATCGGTGTCCGCATTCTGCTGGAGTTCTTAATTGTCTATGAACCTGAAATATTCAAACTGAAATTTACTACTTCATCATAACAAGAATTCAAGAATCCTTGGTCTCCCCCGCTTCGGCTCAATTATGGGCACCCCAGAGCGAGGCATTTCCGTTGGTGCACGAGTTGAAAGTACCGTCCATCGGTAGGCTGGAGTATTTTGATCTTCTGACTAAATTATCTCGGAAAATATTTTTAACTGGAGGCTGAACATTGGTGACAAGTGAGAATAGGTATTGATCGAAAGCTGTACGGAGTTTGATGTCCATTGGATGAAGTTAAAGGTGTCTTAGAGGCCGTAGTTTAGAGCCGGTTGGCAAATTTCGATCGCTGACTTACCTCCCTTGTCTATTTTTATTTACGAGGGGGGAAAAATATTATTCTGGCTTTAAAAATCAATCTTTATTCATAAATTTATTCATAAAGCTGTTTATACTTATTAAAGAAAAAAGAAAAGAAAGAAAAAGTCTTGAAAAGTCTCAAGAAATGAAGTAAAAAAAATTTACGGCTTCATGAGGGCTCGAACCGCGAACCCGCAATTAATACTTTGACACCGCCGTGAAAGCAACACAACCGTTGAGCCTGGGCCCCCTGTGTTACGGCTTCTCGATGGTTCTTTTGAGTCATAATCTGCCCCAGGGGAACTAAATGCACAGCCACTCCCTTACCTGCCCCCTCCGCTTATCTGAAAGGGTTGGATGGTGGTGCGTCATTGTTTTTTAGTAAGGTTTGTAGCAGTATGGTGAGTATTGCAGGARAACACTCATAAACGATAGACTACTCACCCTCACCCCCTATGGGCTTTGGCTTTAATGACTTCCATGTGTAAATTAATTTCTGTTTTTTTTTAGGAATCAGTCTCGCGAGTTTTGATTGATAGACAGACGAAGACAGACAGACAAAACAGATTAGGGACTGATAATCTGAGCCTGCGGGGACCATTGACCGCTGAAAATGGTTGACAAGTCACTGCAAACATCGAAAAATGATTAGTTCAATAATGTAAACGTAATTGTCGATGAGAAGAGGTACTGCTACTGACCTGGAGTTTACTAATACGCAAACAACAAGAAATAATGTTTTTGTCTGCAACAGTCGGCCTTACTTCAAGCAAATCATGTTTTGCTTCATTGTCAAACGATTTGATTCAGCGATTACCAGTCTTTGCCAAGGTAAGACAGCAACAAAACGTTTCAACATATCTAGCTATTCTTGTGAGAAATTAAAATTGAAGTCCATTAGTTACGTATACTAGTTTTACTATTTATTACAGATCATTGAGTCTGTTACTGTAACTGTATATTGAATCAATGCAGTTAGTGGGTGTTTCTTCAATAATGTACATTCATTATCTTTTTTCCAGAGAACAGGAAATGTGATGGTGTTCCAGATAGATTGGGATGGAGGTAAGGCATACTTAAGTTGGTCAGGAGGAATGGCTTTAACCAGATCTGATGGCTTTGCTCAAGCACAAGGACCAATGCTAGAACTTGGAAAAAAGTTTGCTGATCTGAATGGGATTAAGATGGGACAACAGGTGATTATAACTTTTGTATCCTATCAATGTAATTATGCAATCATGATAGCAGCCATGATCCTGCAATGACCTCAATCAGTTTATATAAATTTGTTGTTTTGTTGTGTCCAGGTTGTGGTCACACCTCTGGAAAACATCCCATCATGCACTACAGTCCATGTGGATCCATTGTCTGCTAATGACTGGGAAATTATGGTAAAGTATTGCAAAAATTATTAGTTGATCAGAATGATGAAATATTGAATACTGATTATTGTAAGATATAAATGAATGCATTGGATGGATGGAAAATTAAGAGATAGAGTAGCCATCGTTTTGTACTCATTTTATTTAAGGAATTGCATGCAGGTTTTATTGAGGCCAACCTTTTAAACCAAGTAAGAGTTGTTTGGAGTAATCAAGTGGTAGCTGTTTGGATCAATAAAAGTACATCTATTGTAATTAAAATTGGTATGTGATCATTTGGTAGTTCATGGTTGATTCATCTGTGTGTTACTTGATATTTTATTGACATTCAACAGGAAAACATGAACCTGATACTCCATGTGTTATGTTAGAGGAATTCACTGAAGTGATTGTTGCACCAAAACAAAGACAAACTGAGTCATCAAATCAACAATTGTCAACAACAATACAGCATGGATGCAATCAAAATGAAGTATGCCAAGGAAGTCAACAAACCAGAATGCTTGATGGCAATTTCAGCACAAGTTTAACTAGTATATGGAACTATTTTTTCTCTAGAGAAGGAATTGCAGTCCATGATAATTGTGAATTTTCATCAGAATCCAGAGATAACATTGATAATAACTCAAGTGACACAAATGGTTTACAACAATTATTTTGTTGCAAGTCTATATTTGCAGAAAAGGCAATTGATCTGTGTTTACGAAGCCAATCAGYGTTTCATCCTTTGGACTTAAACAAGAAACTAGAATTGTATGCTCAGCAGTTTTCATGTGTATTTGTTAGTCCCAATTCTCTTGGTTTGAGGTTTTTACAATGCTGTAGACATCATAAGAACCACTGTATTGATGACRTTGATGGTTGGTGTAAGACAGTAACTATAAGAAAACTACTCTCTCCCAAAGAAAAATATGAACTAATAAATACAGAAAAGAGAAAGAACAGTAAGGAAGCAGAGTCAGTTCAAGAGAGCTCCAAAAAAGGTTGTTGTTGAAAGTTATTGATCTTTGTCTTGTTTTTTGTTTTGTTTTTGTCTATTGATGAACCATACCACTAAGCTATCAAGTATTTTTGATTCCATCCATTKTGCATTATCAAATGTTGCCCCCTTTCGTACCTTTTTGCAAAGGAATTGTTTTTCTCTGAATGCACTGCTATCTATCATGTTTCCAGTTTTGTCTACTTCCATTTCASTTTTGTTTGTTTTATTTTTTAGAGATAATTCTAAAACCAGTCACAGTCAGGATGATACTCTGTAAAAATGTATTACCTGGTAGTATTATTCTTCATAAACAATTACAAAAACAGCTTGGTTCAGGAGGTATTTCATGGTTCAGAATTACTTACAGTAAATGTAGACCACAGACAATTCAAGGACTTATATTGCATCCTCTTGCAGATGGGGAAAAGGTTTGTCTTGAATAGACCTAATCGGCTTCAACCCAATTCAAACCACCCGGGAGTAAGTTTCATTGTTCGTTGTATTTTCATTTCACAGTTGAATTCTTATAAACAAAAGTTTTTTTCCCACAGGATTTGAATTGGGTGGCAACGTACATAGCAACGCCGTTAGCCGATTAGGTCTATTACTAACATTTGTCATTATAGAAACACTGACAATCATCACACAGASAGACAGGCAACACAATCAGTCATATGATTGATATTATTAACAATAATTTATCAGTAAGGTACATGTGTGGTGGAAACTAGCGGTAAACTAGTGTGAGCTGTGTCAGTTGTGTAAAAATTTTAACACCATAAATAAATAGGTAAAAAAACATCAGTACGTTATTTTTCATATTTTTTATGGTATTAAAATTTATCAAGGTACATGTGTGTTCAGTCTATTTTCAGATGACTTCTTATCAATATTTACAGCCTGTCAGTAGGTCAGACCTTTAGTTACACAGTCATCTCAGTCCATTCTCTTTTATTCAGTCTGGTGAAAGCAGTTSTAAAGTCATTGTAGATTCCTTCACAAAATGGGTTGCCATGATAACCAGTGAGGAGTGTCCTTTCCAAATATGGAATGGCATGACAGTTTCATTTGATTGCAATGGTAAGCWTAGATCTGTTTWCCATGGTGTTGTCAAGAAGCGGCTTGGTCAATAATCATATTATTATATCGCTATTTTATGTCTGCATAAATACATGGGCCTATTTAGATCCATATATGTATGCAGGGCTAACTATATGTGATATGAACGTTAAGTAATCAGATATAGTCAGATGTTTGATATATTATTTTTTTATTATTTCAGGAATAATGCTAGAGTTTATTCTTACTGTCTTGAGCCAAGTTGAACATAAAAGTGATGACAATAACCCTCCTTACTATTTACTAACACCAAGTGTATTACAAGATCTAACTGTAGTGGTTGGTGAACAGAAATCATTGCCTAAGCTAACTGCATTGCTTTGGCAGGCACAAATTGACAATGCTGTACAAATAAGCTGTGGCATTAATGACCTTGGGTAAAGATTAATTGATTTATTTTACAATACAACCAAACACTTCAAAAGATGATAAATAGGCAGCCAGTCATGCAAACCAAACAATGTTTTAGTCACTCAACAAAATATTTTTTAATGGATTTGGTCCATCAGTATTGCTGTATCTTCAACAGTTTTATTCACTTATATAATTTAATACTATTTGCTATTTTGTTTATCATGTGAAAATATGTTGATTTCTACAGAGGATTTTCACAACCATATGACAAGTGTTTAAAGCATTTGRTGGTTTGTYTAGAGAAATGTCTRCTATCTTCACATGTCAGTGGTGGACTGACTAAAGGACTTTCTAATGGTGCAGTTCTTATATGTGGAAGTGGACGCCATGCTGGGGAAGGATGTGGCAAGACTTCTCTTGGTCTTGCTATTTGCAATAAACTGAACCAATTGCCAATAGGTGCCCATGTGGTATATATTGACTGTATTCCTTTAAGAGGTAAGGAGTTGATGTTTTTGAGAAATGTTTTGGGAAAAAATGTCACCTCCCTTGATCTGTCAAACTCATATAATAATATTAATCAAAATTATTTATCTTTTGTTATGTTTTTCTTTCAGGAAAACGAGTTGAGACTGTGCAAAGACATTGGCAACAGGCATTTCTAGAGGCAACTTGGTATCAACCATCTGTGATTTTATTGGATAATCTTGATCATGTGATATCTGCTCCCAGTCTTGCTCAGGAGATGGGTGGGGAGGGCCTTTACAGACTGCGGCTTGTACAAGGTACTTCATTTCCTGATAAAGCCTTTGTAAGTTTTAAATTATGCTTACTGTCACATTGTTTTCAGTTTTCAAGGATCTTATAACTTCAGAGATTGTCAATCAGAGCAAGATTGCTGTCATGGCAACAAGCAGGTCTCGTGACTGCCTCCATGGGGCTTTGCAGTCTAGTCATGGTGTGCACATGTTTCATTGTTGTGTAGAGCTTGGTTCCTTGAATGAACATCAAAGATGTGAAGTACTTATGAAGTTGATAGAGAAAAGTATTCCTGATACCAATTATAATGAACTAGAGATATTAATGAAGTAAGTMATCATCACCATCATCATYACCATCATCATCATATTATGATTATCACCATCTGTATTATCAATATCACATTATCATGTACCCACAATGATTTAAATACTTTTTCATACATTTTATGATTAAAAGATCAGTTGCAAGAAAATGCGAAGGATTTTCACCAAAAGATTTGAATGCAATTGTTAAAAGAGCTTTACATTTTGCTCTCATAAGAAATGCTCATGAACATCAGCAAGGTAATACCAATACAAGCAAAGTCAGTCATTATTTCAATATTGTAGATTAAGGGTGTAATTTTGTATGTAAAACTTTAGTGAGCCTGGTGTTAGATGATCTGAACCAAGCTTTAGCTGGATATAGACCTGCATCATTGCGAGGTGTACAACTACACAAGCCAGGTCACCATACTTGGTTAGATGTTGGAGGACTGCATGAAGTTAAAAAAGCACTTGAAGAAACCTTACTTTGGCCATCTAAAGTAAGTAACATAGGGAGCCACTCTTGAAAGGTAACTTGACCTGATACCYATTATGTTTAGTACACAGGTTTATTCAGTAAGTGTCCACTTCGTATTCGTTCGGGTTTATTGATGTATGGACCACCTGGTACTGGAAAGACATTATTGGCTGGTGTAATAGCCAATGAGAGTGGATTAAACTTCATTAGCATCAAGGGACCTGAATTATTGAGTAAATACATTGGAGCCAGTGAACAAGCAGTGAGAGATGTATTTTCAAGGTGATAACAGTAAAGGATAAGTACTATTGATAAGGCTGTATAAGCAATTGGACAGTACGGATCATGAAAAAGATAAAAATATAATAATTATTGACTGAGAGAATGAAATATTTTAATATCACTACAATGATTATAGTTACTTTGTCCAATCACAAAAAAAGGATGTAAGTTAGTGTTATCTCAGAGGTGAAGAAAGCCAGTGCAAGCTCTGTTTTAAAATCAAAGCATGCAGCTGATTGTATAACCTTGCCACAAGGCATACTTTATTTGGACACTTTATTTGTTTTTATTTCAGAGCCCAGACTGCAAGACCTTGTATATTATTCTTTGATGAATTTGATGCTTTGGCTCCCCGACGTGGGCATGACAGCACAGGTGTTACAGACAGAGTTGTCAATCAGTTACTGACTCAACTAGATGGTGTTGAAGGACTTGAGGGGGTGTTCCTTTTAGCTGCAACAAGTCGTCCAGGACTGATTGACCCAGCATTGTTAAGACCAGGAAGACTGGACAAATGTGTTTACTGCCCTATTCCAAACGAGGTTTGTATAACCCTATACCTTATAACATGTGTGTATACTTCAAAAATGAATTATTTAGTTTTATTTAGTTATGTCACAAAGAAATACTGTCATAATTATTACTAACATCTTTTTCAGTCTGAAAGACTTGAGATACTCAAGGCACTGACACGTAGCATTTCCCTTGAGGAAGATGTGCACTTGAAAATAATAGCAGAAAGATGTCAAGACTTTACAGGGGCTGATATAAAGGCTTTACTCTATAATGCTCAGCTTGAGTGCATCCATAGGAAAACAAGCAAACTAAAGCTGTATGGAAGTATCTATGATGGTGTACATGTAGAAGAAGATACAAAGCAAGTCAATGAAGTGAAAACAGCTGTTATCACTATTTGTCAAGCAGACCTTGAAAAAGCAGTGTCAATGATGAAACCATCAGTTTCTCCCAATGAAAGACTAATGTACGAAAGCATGTAAGTTAATTTTATTTTGCTTTTCTTCTGTCTTCTCATCCCTTATCATCCTTAAAAGTACAAACATTACCATGTCATATGAATTTCACTTAAATGACTGTAGTCCCATTAACCTGTATTGTTCATCTGTCATCAAGGCTTACAATTTGACAATCATTTCTTCATAGGTTTGATTCTTTCATGAGATCAAGAGGAAATAGTTTTACAAGGAATACACCTATCAAAGGCAAAGCAACATTAGCCTAAGCACACTTGAACTAAGAACACGAGACAAGACAAGTCATTGATCACTTACACCTGATTTTGGGGAGCCAGACAAATATGACATCATTCTTCTGCTTAAGCCTGGTTTGAAAATTCTAGTTAAATTAAAATAAATTAAATTCTAAAAATTCTAGTTCAAGAAGTGAAACTTTTCATTTAGACTGTGTACTGATTTTATCAACAATAATTTAACAATCATAATTCATAAATGTCTTTGCAAAATAAAGATGTACAAATGCTATTTCTTCTTCTTCTTCTTCTCCTTCTTCTCCTGTGTTCTGGTCCCTTTTCCAACAGTCTTTACCACAGGAGGTTGACAAACAACTGTTATCATTCCAAAATCTGGGCTTTGTTGGTTTGTGTCCTTATTAATTTTTATTTTTTTCTGGTTTTCAATATCTACACYATCAGCATCTGATATAATCTCTGCAGTAGCATCATTTTGTGAACTTGTTTCCTTATTAGTACTTTCACATTGAYCATCATTTAGTTTKCTTTGCTTTGTTGTGTTATCATTGTTCTCCCCAATGCCTTCTTTTTCTGAAGATAACCTCCTTTTACGATTTGTMCGACCATTGTCTTTGTTCRCTTGTATTAATTCATSTTGTGTATTTGAARTTGAAGCTTTTAATTCTGAGTTTGCATTCTCAACACTTRATTCATTTTCTTTGTATGGTGTATCATCAACTGGTGCCTTGTCATCAAAAGGATTCAGCCATGGCACAACAATGTCAGGGACCTTTGTAGTTATGTATTCTATCAGACTGTCAAAATAAGTGCTTGGCCTTTGTTTCTAAAAAAAATAACATTCCCATATTACAATGGGGACCCCATACTGTTGTGCCTCTATATAGTATGGAAATTAGTTGCAAATTCAACCATACAGCACAATTTAGTACAAGTAGTAGTATTGTATAATTACCTTAAATCCTATAGCTCCAGCTCTCTTTTGACCTAACAATGATGCCAGTAATTGACCTATTTCATGCAAACCAAGTGTAGGTGTTCTGCGGGTTGCCCCTATCAACATCAAATGATCTGTCATTGTAACTGGCTTCACAGATCGATCAACCTAAATGTAATATGGTTAGAAATGTCAATCTGCTCTAGATAAAAGTTTTTAACTCATCAACATTGTATGGCTAAGAAAAATAAATCATGTGTGAATGCTATACTTTAAGCTGTGATCATTTCATTGAAATAATTATAAAAATAATTTTTTATATATAACAATGAATCACTTACAAGAACAAGAGATAATTCATCCCTCTCAAGTCCTTTGGTAACCTCATTTATTCCTACAGCTAAACATTGTCTCAATGATTGTTTCTCATCCAGCTGTTCCTTTAGTATCTTGTCATCTTCTGATAAAGGTTCATTGGACGACTCAAACATCTTTCGTTTTTTCTTTGATATCTTTTTTTGCTTTTGGTTCAGAGTTGCAGGGAAATGTCTGTGTAAGGAATCTCTCGTCAATATCATTTTTTATGATGTAAAGTTAAGCTGGGAAACTTGAATGGGTAACCCATCTCAAAATCCAGAATCCAACAAAATTGTGACTCTGGAAACCGGAATCTTGACACTTGGAGTCTGGGATCCATTATGCATTAAGTGAAATTGTCAAGTGAGCACGTTTAATAATATTCAGTATTTACCTTCCAATTGCATTCATGATAGCATGGTACGTTTTCTTGTCCAATGTAGGCCTGAAAAGGTCATGATAAGGAAAAACGGTGCTCAAAATGCGAGAAAACAAGCTAAGAAAAGAACACAAGAAATTAAAGTCTTTACACTTTACCAGTTTACAGTATATGGATTTGATAGGGTAGTCCTCAAACCACTTGATTTTCGAACACCACCTTTCTCCACTGTGCTGGCCGCCATCTTTCTTTATTAGCACAGGAAGCCCACGAATTAAGGTTTGATTATTTAATGTTGCTAAATAAGATTTTTCATAGAAATGAAAATTAAACAACTTTTATTGTTCAGGAAAAATTCGAAAAAAATTGAAATTATTTCTGCGTGTCGTCGAATCGTGTTCCCGCAGACAGAGATAATAGGAAGAACTAACTCGATTGGTCGAGAGGAGTACAATTACATATAATAATTGTACTCCTTATAAAATTTTGTTTGAATGAATGTACTATAAACAAAAAAATCACATAACCTCTCGTACAATTTGGAATTAGAGTACAAACATTAAATGTGTGCAACACTTTCCACTATTTACTACAAAATAGTCATTAATTAAACAATAGAAAACAATAGAATTAGCATAATTTAGCAGTATTTAGTGGTATTTAGTGTTTGTACTCTAGTAGTCACGAGTAATGTTTTGAAAGTTCTCTTCGTAATTGCACTCAACATTATGGAAATAGACTATGCCATTATATTTCCGTCTCATTGACAGTCGTTTCCGAGGAATCTAATAGTCTAGGATACATACAAACAAACTGCATTTTTTGTCTATATTTCTTTTATTAATAAATATTTTCCATCAATATAGATTCAATATAATATAACTTCCTTTATAAATCATAACCATGGTAGAATACAACGTTGTTCAAGTGTTTCATGACTCGTCATCTTCCTCGTACTTTATCTCTCTGCCAACTTTAGGTTTTTCTATCGGGACGTCGTCATCTAACTGACCCATCGTCTCCTCCTTCATCACGTCTTTGGATGCGTCAAGACTTTCGTCTCTGCTGGTGCTGTCCGGAATCCCACTTTTCTTTTCAATCAGCGGTTCTTCATCGGCATCAAGCAAATCGTCCAGAGGCACTTTGCTTTGTTCAAGAATTACTCTTTTAACATCTGAAGGAGGATTTTTGTCGTGTTCATCTTGTCCGTCATGTGTAGATTTTGGTTCATCGTTAGGACGATCAAGTAGCTCATCGGGATGATTGGGGTCGATCACAATGGCCTCGTCAAACTGACCGTCGACGCCCAGGGTCGTTGTTGTCAAAGAAGATCCAGTGTTTAGCTTTTCTAAGTTAGCAATACCTGGGGGTACTACAGTTGAAAATTCGAATTCATCACTATCATCCTGCCTGCTAAGCTCTTCCCCATCTTTATCGATATCGTCATTTCCCTTCTCACCCACTTGCATTTCGAGTCCAGGTAATGGTCGGGCTCTCTTCTCATTTCCCGTTTTCAAGGATCTTTTCTTTCTTTGTACTAAGAAACTCAAGGATTCATCGTAGCTAACATCTCGTCCGATTGTCAGTTTTTTGCTTGGGCTGTTTGGATCTGCGGCAATCTTTGGTTTGCATAGAATGCTTGCCAATCTATCTTGCTCAGACATGAAAAGCAATTTTATATATTCTTTGTGGGTTGGTTTCTTCAGAATGTTTTCAGCTAGACGTATTAGCCACCCTAAACACCAAAAGAATATAAGAAGTATTTTTAAGTAAAAATTTGAATGGTTATATTAATTTGCAAAGTATAGCCAGGTAATTTTTTGGTTTTCGAGAAAGTCATATTCCCCACGTGTAYGACTTTTAAAGTACATAAATAGTAGTGTGCCTGCAAGTTGCTGCAACTGGCCTGGAAAAGGAATTAAAAAAATGCCAACAAACATTGCATTTTACTGCTTCAAAGCCTTCAAACTATTTTCTTTTTCTCAACCATTCGACAATCTCATTGAAATCTACCTTTTTTAGTAGTAAGCTTCTTGGCCGAGGGCTTTTTTGCAGCGTTCTCATCTGGTTCGGCGGGGCAAACCATTTTCTTTAAAGTCTCGCATAATTCTAGAGCTTTTTTAATGCCGTCCTCCGGGTTTTTGGATTCCAAAGCTTTCTTCAGTTGCCCTATGAATTTCTGAAATTTCTGTTCTTCTGCTGTTAAACGAGAAAGAGTAGAAAATATTAAATGACCCTTAAATGTGGATAGTAACTGCATTACAGCTAGAAGCCGAATGTTTCTTTGACCATTATGATATCAACCTACCTTTCTCTTCTCCACGTGCTTTGCCTTTTGGTCTTCCATAAACGCTTCCTAGCAAGAGCAGAATTACAACTACAATRAGTTTCGCCATTTTCACCAMCAATAAGCTCATCTGAGACCTAAACTCCAAGTAAATGACCGTCCACGAGGGAAATGTCCAGTTTTATAGTGAAATGAACAAAAAGTATTCGCAATATGATTGGTTAAAACGATCGACCCATCGAATTTTTGCACGCTCCAATTTCAAAATGTGCAAAATATAATTACTGATTGCTAATTAATTATCTTTCATTGTTCAGGTTAAATTGAAGGTGTTTCTGACAAAGCCATGCAGAAGAATACTTCAAAGTATTCTTAACATTCTTTTCGTGCAAGCTTCACATCCTTTCGCCTAAGGTGAGTTTGAAAACTAGWGCATCCGATMCCATTAGTGTAGATCAGGGACCGCTGCTGTCCAATCTATCAGTCAAACACCATTGAACAACTGAAATTGCGTTTTTACTCGTTACAATTAGCACGATGACTTATGTAACGCTATCGTAAATTCGAGAAAATATTAAAGGATGAATCGGTGCTCTATCGTGCTCTATATGTACATTATTAATAATAAATATTCAAATTTTCCACGCATCTGCACGTAATTCATTTTCTTGGMTMCCTATGAGTGAATGTGCTAAAGTGCGCAAAAMGCAACAAGAGAGCAGGAATTGAAAGATAAAAYGGAAGCTCTAACGAAAAGGGCAAGCACTTCATAGATTGTCAGGTGGTGGTTGTATCAATCAGTTAAATATATTATAAACTTTTTTTATTTTCCTGTTTATTCAATAAATGTTTATTTTATACATATTCTTACTGTATTCAACGAGTTCTGGATTGTAAAAATGTAATTGTAAAAATGTGACCCAAAAAATTCGTAAAAACTAAAACTTGCACTATCAAATGATATCAAAAATTAGTCAAGTCCTGGCCTCCCTTTTGATCCACTCCATTAATTGGGTAAAAGAGAGTCCATTAAAACTTGAAAGCGCATGTCAACCTAGTGACCTTGCCATGTAAGGATCATGAGGTTACAATTCTTGTGCAATTTAACAAGATGTTAGAAAGACAGATATGATGTCATTTGCATCCATGATTACTATCAATAAAATGACGCAATTCTTTACACTTGCAGTGTGATAAGATTATTACCATTTAGCGCTCACTGCAGGGCTGGTTGTTCAAAGCCCAATTTGTGCTAATCCTGGGTTAACTCTTAGAAACCTATGGAGTTAACCCTGGATTAACGCTAATCAATTTTGAACAACCCAGCACTAGGTTGTGAATATTGTTAACACTCCACTGAAAACTGGAGTGATTGGAATTATTATGATGAGTACAAATGAAACTTAATCCGATTAGCGTGTTCTGTACATGCRCATGCAAAATATACTGGACTCTCTTTCCTTACAAGTCYGAGAGTGGGTTAAAGGAGGCTAGGATTGGAGTAATAAAAAGTCTGCCCATGAACATGCAATCAAATGGACACAAACACAAAACAAAGTACAGATACAATGAAAAAACTATCAAGATCAGTTTTGTTGGAACTTTATCTAAGGATTTATCTAAGTATTTATATAAGGATATAAGAACATGAATACGCAGCAAAAAAAATAGTAACTTCAAGTCTATCTTTGAACCCTAGGGGCTATTGCATATTAGGTGAAAATGTAGGATTCTTTCCCCTCTTTCTGTCCACCTGCCTCAATCTCCCAGACCCCA